AAGCGAACTGAACTTCCACACCGCTACGAGAGTATTACATATTCAGGGACGACCTCTACGCCGTGGATGAGGTGATATTTGACTAAGATCGAATCGTAATTTCACCCACGTTGCGCGGAGACGTTCTACGTGCCCTTTACGCGCACATCAAGGTGTTTCTTTTTAATGACCTCTAGGGCAGAAGCATCCGTGTTCTGGTCACGAATTACAGCGCAGCGATCTTGACAACACGCAACAAGTGCCGAGAATCCAATCGCTTGTCTCCATCATGTCCATAAACACCATCTTACCCGTCCCAATGCAGTTGTGCCGATTTTTTTTACTGCAAAGGTGTCAACTACCTAGTTATCGTTTATCGCTACTCCAATTGGCCAATAGTCGAGTGAACGTCGGGTGGTGCGTTAGGACTCATCAGCAGCCTACGACGAACATTCTCGACTTTTGGCATTGTACAGAACTGGCTTCTGATGGAGAGCAGGAATTGACCTCTGCTGCCACACAAAAGTTTTTGAGAGATTGGGGCGTACATAGGGTTGCCAACTACCAAAAGTTTCAATAAAGGACATAAATTACCGTCATCAGTTATTTTGTAACTTGCAGAAAAGAACAATTTGAAACAATGAAATAAAATGATATACAAGCTAAAAAAATATTTTAAAAAAAACTTCATGTGTTTTTCATTTAATGTTTATTTAACATTGACCCAAACAAGCTCTAAGTTTATAATTTTTAAAGGTATATTTCTTCGGACTCTTGGCTGACATCAGGAATTGTGGATCAAAATATATATACTTTTTCCAAAAATTCACGACACGTGTCTTTCAAGTTAAAGTACATTTAAAAGCTCACTTTTCATTAGTTGTATGAAGCATCTGTTTCTTCCACTGCGTAATTTAGATGATATTACACTAAAAATGCGTTCACTATAAGCAGAGGTTCCGGGAATTGAGAGCACAAATGAAACTCAAATTTTGAAAACATTAACACACTTAAGATTAAAACTTTTCTAGATATAGTGTCATTTACTGCTTGCTGATTTGCATTCTGTAAACAGTTTAGTGCTTTGAATCGTGCCAAAGTTTTTTGAATGAGTTCAACTCCATCAAATAGGTCATTCATATTCAAATTAAGTTTGTCGTTTAGCTTCAACTGCTCTAAAATTTTAGCAAGTGTCCGATATTTTTGGAAAATGATTATCCAAAACAAGCCGGTAGGCGCCCAGTTGGATATCCACCATTGCTTGAGGCCCGCATCATTTCAGTTTACTAACAGATAATAGGAGACACTACTAAAAACGCCAGTTCATTTTGAACGCTGCGCGTTCCACTGAGTTCATTTCAAACGGTGCGCGTTTCGTAACCTTACTCGCGTGACTGGTATTGGTTTAAAACTAAAAAAATAATCTTCACTAAAATCTCTAAGGCTCCTCCAGTTTAAAGAGTATTGAGATCCAAAGATAACTTATTGGAAAGAGTATTTTGCTATGCGGAAGGTAGCGTTCTTGGAATTTTAATTTTCGACTTGGTTTGCGAGAAAACGATCGGCGCGTTTTTCGTTGTTTTCATGGAAACGAAACCTCCATCCGGACTTTCCATGAAACGCACAATACTAGGGTGGCTGGATAACCCATGTGAAAAATTTCATCCAGATTGGTCCAGCCGTTAAAGCGCTACATCTAAACAGACAGACAGATACACAAACATACAGACAGACAGAACGATTGATATAAAGGGTCTCCTAGAAGCGGAGATCCAACAGATAATTTTGATAATAAAAGAACTAGCTCGAGCAACAGTGCGTCAACACAGCTCTACAGCAAATATCAGCTTCCTAACGAGCGTATTTATTCCTCGCCGGTTTTAGTTCTGCCGTGTTTCCCCGAAAATAAGACAGTGTCTTATTTCAATTCTCTTCCTAAATATAACACTAAGGCTTATTTTCAGGGGATGTGATTTCAATTTATCAAAAATAAAATTACAAAGTAAAGAATTATGATATTTTTAAATATGCAAAATATAAAAACCGATATTCAATTACTTATGAATAACACGTTTTTATTCAAAATATCTGCAAAACATAGATTATTAAGCATTTAATAACGTGTAGGAGAGATTTTTTCTATCGACTAGGTCAAAAAAAAATTGTGTTATTGACTAGGTCTTATTTTTAAGGGGAGGGCTTTATTAAAAATAATTCTTAAAATTCAGGTTAGGTCTTATTTTCGGGGAAACACGGTAGATAATTCGATAACATACTATGATTACACAAGCATCTACAAAAACGGTATTGTTGGATTGTGGACGTCATAGATACCAATTATACGTATAATTGGTATACGTAGAATTTTCAGTTATTGAACTAGAATTTACTCAAACCTGGAGTGTTGCCATTTTCGGAAAATTAATGTAAAATATTTGAAATGTTAATAAAATCGTCATTTCCTTGGCTATTCGAACCGAACCAAAGCGAAATTGAAAAAAAAAATAATCAAAGGTTGCAAATACATAAACGGTGGCAATTTTTTAAGAACGGAACAATATCAAACACAGTACTATAACTATCGGGCAAAACTGCGTTAGAAAGAATAAAGAACAATTAGCATCTTTTCTAAATCCTAAAAAGGACAAGAACCGAAAAGCTTAATTAAAGGATCGTTCTTTGAAATAAAGGACGATTGGCAACCCAAGGCGTACATCATCGCCTATCATCGGTGGCATTCCACATTATAACTGCCGCGCAGAAGTCGGAGTAAAAACTGTCAAACGACTTGTTCGCAACAACACTGGGCCAAACGGCGAACTGGACGCAGACTCCTTTCAGCGGGCCATTCTGCAATACCGAAACGCATCCGACCCGGACACATAAACATCACTAACAGTGTGCGTGTTCGGACGCGCAATCAAAGACTTCATCCCTATTCTCCCCGGCAGAAATAAACCGCATAACACTTGGCGTGAAATTTTGGCAGTCAGAGAGGAAGCTTTTGAGATCGGCATGGAGAAGCTCGGGATCGGCATATGAGATCGACAGAAAGATGGTCAGAACATACGAAAAGGCTTACTCCTCCAGTCATCGGCGATCACCTAAGGATTCAAAATCAGATCGGCAAAATGCGACAAAACGGGACTGATAGTTGAAGTAAGGCAATTCGATCCATTGACCGTAAAAGTCGACGGATCCGAAAGTGTTACACTTCACAACAAAACATTTTTGCGTAAATACACACCCGTAATCGGACCACAACCGCGACACGTTGCCGACAATTATATCATCTATTATAACATGTGTGTAATCTTTAATACAGCGCTAGCAAAAGTCACGAATCCTAACAACCCGTCGACAAAAGTAGTAGTAGAATATCCTTCATGGCCTACGGGCGGATTCCCCGACGTTCAAATCGTGCTCGAAGTGGCCCTAGATGGCAAAAAGACTATGATATGACTTAAATTCCTTAGAAATTCTTCACAAGGAACGGCGCTCACGAAAACAAAATTGGGGGGGGGGGGGGATAGTGAATATTTATGTAGACTGTGTAGTATGTGATTCAATGCTAACTCGTGTTCTTTATTTCATTTCAGTTATTATTGAGTTATTGTCACTGTTCACTGATAAAAGTGTAACGAATGGACTGTCAACCCTACTGTTGAATAAAATGAGATATATCATACAAAAAAGAGGAATGAGTATTAACACATAAACTTGTTCGCGTAGTATAAATAGTCTGGTGACGAGAAAGATTATTTCAAGCCATTACTCCACTAAAACCGTTTATCCTTTTTGAATAATAAGAAGTCATCTCGTCACAGGAGACTCATGAGAATAAAATTTGAAATCTTCAATTCACATGAATGAATATGGAAACAACCTACGGGATGATAAAATACTAAGACAGTTGATATATCGTGTGTGAATAGTCACGATAATACAAACTAAATATATGCTATGGTGTAAAGCAACAAAACATTGGCGCATTAGCAGAGCGATCGTAAATGCTTTCATACAATATCAAGAACAATCTACACTTAGTTTACAATGTTTCAATGATGACGAAATACAAACTGCAGTTCTATGTTTATTTCATGAAATATTAAATAAGTCCTTTGAAATGTATTTGATGTTCAATGATTCAATTTACAATATAAAATTTAAAACGTCACAACTTTGAATCCTATGATCTTATCTCATTATTATTATGACTTGTCTTTCAGCTTTTTGAATCAAACAAGGCTGTAAACACGTTCATGATAATTTTCAAATTTACTTTTGTAAACTTTGTGTTTTTGTACTTTTTTTAACGTTAAACACAATTTTAAACATCAAAATTCTAATTTCATTTTCCTTCCCAAAAATAGTCCACAAAAAAGGAAATTAGAACGACCAATAATATTTTTTATTTACATATAGTTTGGTCTCGGACGTCGTTACATTCATAAATCGTGAATCTCCTCTAAAACTGCGTAGATAAATACGTGGTTCAAAGTGTCCGATTCAGTTAAGTTCCCATAAATGTTTTGGTAATAGCCGCAATAGTATCGACCAATCACATTCTCGGTCGTGTACTCATATCGGACCAAACAATCCACAACAAACGTTGCTAACCTCAGGGCCTCAATCACTATATTTAGTATCTTAAATTGTAAACAGCACACTGCATGGATAAGAAAATAATAATTGCATAGCTTTGCCCGAAGCTAAGCACTTCGATTATCATCTTTTATCATACAGCTATATGAAAACGCTAACAAGAGACCGAAGAAGACATTGGGCTGCAGCAGTAGGCTAGCTACGTGATACTATATGCGCAGTGTTTTGGTACAACTTTCTGGTAGTAGCAGTTGAATATAAAATAGTTTCTACACGAAAAGCTACCTAAATTATACCTACAACCACCCTATGTTCTCTCTTTTTCCATCTCTATTAATTCCAATATTATATTCGTAATCTTAGACATTCATTACCGACCTATGATGTTTATATTATACTTAAATAATTTTAATGATAAATATTTATATTTTCAGTAAAATACAGCGTTTTTGATAAGTTTTTTTGCAAAGAAAAACTTTTACGCTCTGGTAGCAATGGCGCAGAAGTACCAGATTCTGCTCTTTATTTTATCCCTATTTTATTTTGAAAAGTGTGTTTCTGGACATTGTAAGTACATTTTTATATATCTAACACATTGAATTAGCCTTAAACATTTTAAAATAAAATTTATTAAAATAAAATTAAGTATACTTTTACGAATTTAGCAATGCTGGATTGGGTAACTACTACCGGTATATATGTTTTACGGCTCGGTGGTAATAAATTCTCTTCTTCTATGGGCATTCTATCAGCACTTTAGTAAATTTGTATTCTGTAAAAAAGTGTTTAGATAAAACGTGAAAAAAGTAGTCAAGGTATATGCCCTCTCTATCGGCATCACGATTGTTCAGATTGTGCGCTAATCGTAAGAACTAATGTGCGACGTTTATATATAAATGCTTATAAAACATTTTTTCTCTGGCACAAAATTATAAGTTAACAACACGCATTACTTTTTCAGATTATTCCTCAACTAAACCGATGATAACAATTGCACCAACTACAGACTACGGATATGAAACAGACAGTAGGTTTAATGATTTTAGGCTTAACAGCATAAGAAATATGATCTTGTGTACGTGTGGAACTCTTAATTATATTCAGATTCATTCCGTTATCCAAGTTACTGCAAATCAGGATATTGTGACTACGAAGCCAAATGGCATGCTCATTCTGGTTATATTTTTATTACTATTTGGGCAAAGATCGGCAAAGGTTATTTTGCAGGAATTGGATTTTCGGATGACCGGATGATGGTATTTATTTTTATTTTTGATCACGTTTGTCATTTTCCAAATTGAACCTATTTAATGCAAATGTATCTTTAAATCAGAACGAATTTTATCTTTTGGACATGAAGGAGATGCGGTAATTTTGATTCTTTTACCCTACACCAGAATCTTAAAATCACCAATCGCTTACAAATATGAAACCAATAAAAAACAATCTACCCGAACAAGACAACAACACTTTTATAATCTTTCACTAATACTTTCGGCCAGTTTTGCATGAATAACTCATGATACTAACTAATTTCTCAAGTCCACATATCTGTGATAGCATTCATCAGCATTTGATAAATATAGACTGTAGGAAGTGCATTTGGTGTAAGTATACTTCTCGAGAACAAGGATTTTTTAATTTATTTCAGCCGAATTCAGACTGTATAACGGGAGGAATACCAATGTACGGATACTCTTTTCTTTTGACCGATAGATATTTGAGTGCAAGGTCCCTTGCTGGTATAAGAAATGATGAACAGCAGGATGCGATGTTACAGTCTCACTCTCACGTGAATGGAATGTTGAAATTTGAGTTCAAGAGAAATTTATACACTGCGGTTAGTTAATCTTGGACAACATTTTTATTGCTCCTCATAAAAGTAAAATTCTCTCATCATTTTCGAAACTCCTGCAGAATGTACTAAAAATACAACCAATCAATATTTCTATTGATATATAATGAACTGTAAATTACTTAACATAGGCAAATTTGCTATTTTCAAATACTGTTAAAACATTCTTCATAAACAGCAATAATACACTAATCCAGATAACAAAATTCTCTAATTGGATTATTATATAGATCCAAATTTCAGGATACATACGACAAATCTCTGGATGTATGCAGATTCTTCCTATTTTCATGGGGTGGAAGACTTCAAAAAAACAAGTTGATTTCAAAACATACAGAAGCATTCGCTACGCGAAAAAAAATATGTTTCAGTAATATTTCCTGCTTTTTTTTTTATCATCATGTCTTTGTGCGCCGTAAATAATGGAGATGGAACAAACAACATGTTTTGATATTAGATTAGAATCATGATGCTCTCATCTTTTATTTCCTCGAGGCCAAATACTGTGTCTATACAGTCAGTATTATTATTATAAGTTAAATCACAAACTCTAATGCGAGCCAAGATCTTTTCAGTAAATATGAGCTAAAATAATAAATATTTAGCGTTTTTTTTAAATAAAATGCTTGGTTGATAAGATAACTTCTTCCTTTACACATATATTTGTTATGTTACAGTTCCTCCGCCTACCATTCCACCTACAATCACAATCAAGCCATACCCAACTGGAAGTTATGTATATGAAACACGAAGTAAGTGATGTATTGTATATATAACATATTAAAATTATGCGTTAATAATCAGCTAAAATAGAAAGTAAAATAGGTCGTATTGCCAATATTTTTCTAGTCACGAGAGTTAAACTTTTATGCCAAAAATACAGTTAGTCAAAAATATCTTTTGTTTGATGATTGAAAACACTATGACTGATTCTCAAAAGTCAAACCTACAAAATAGAACCAGCTGACAATTTCCCCTCATCGTAGTATTTATTTTTTCTTGGGAAAATCAGTAATGTTATAAAATTGAAGGAATTTAAAATATAGGGTTGCATAAGACTGTGATGATTGAAATATAATATTTTTGTTCTATGACAACTACTTTGCAGATTCCTTCAGTTATCCAGGCAGGTGTGATGCTGGACATTGTGAATACATGGCAAAATGGCATGCAGATTCTCATTTTGTTTATTTCACGATATGGGCTAACGTTGGCGAAGGAATTTGGGCAGGAATTGGATTTTCTGACGACAGAATGATGGTAAGATCTCATATAAATTACCAACGGCCATTATTTGTGTTTTTTTCGGTTTTTTGTTTTAACATGGAAGTAAATTTACTTCTACTGTGAGTAATTGAATTTTTGTAATGCTTATATTTTTTTTAAACTTATACTTTTGAAATTTCTATCAATATTCCGATATTCTGAATAGTTTATACCACGTTCTCTATATTGTATTCACATTTGATTTACAGCCAAAATCTGATTGTATAACTGGTTGGAAATCTGGAAATTCGTTCGAACTGAAGGACAGATATTTGATAGCTAGACGACCAGACGCAGTACCACGTGACCAGCAGCAAGATGCCATTCTGCAGTCACATTCATTATGGAATGGAATGCTCGTATTCAATTTTAAAAGAAAGATAAATACTGGGGTAATTATTCGAACAGTTTCTCTGAACCTTCAGTCCCAGACAGCAAAATTATGTTTGCCAATTTTGTTCATTCCTATCGCACTTATATTTTAGATAAATTTCTATTATTCATTAAGTGTGTTAATATATTCAAAGAGTTTATGGTTTTTGCGACAAATATTCATTTAGTAGAGCAGATATTTATAGGCTACCAATACTAATGTATTAAGCGTTAATGTATATATAAACAAATTGTATTTCATAGGATAGGTACGACAAATCGCTGGACATTTGCCGCTTTTTCTTATTTGCTTGGGGTGGTAAAGGAAATGCTGACGGATCTATATCAGCTCACACCAGACAATTTGTATCGAAGAGGAAAGTCTGTATAGGTGAAACACGATTCCACGCTAGTTAAATCATTGTAATGTTATGCGTTGGTCACATTAGCAGTAGAGTTCTAAACAAGGCCCGTAATCAATTTTTTTTGAAACGTTTTTGGGCTTACAGTGTATTTATTTTGTCATATATACTAAATGTTGCTAAAATCGAAATGAATATTTTTACAGCACATCGACCTACTATTGGACCGCCTACTCTAATACCTACTATTGGGCCCCCTACCCTAATACCTACGACAAAGCCGAAAGACTACGGATACGAATCTCAATGTATGTTAAATTAAAAAAAAATTCATAGATTGTTTTTCTTTCAAGAACGTTATTAAATCTACAAACTCTGTTGTTCAGTTGCAACTGTTTTTTCGTACATCCTTACGTATATTAATGAAAAAGTGTCGTTTTTGTCTTTTTCTAATTTGTTAATTAATTTTGATCTCAATTATTGCAGACTCATTCAGGTATCCCAGTTATTGTCAGCCCGGTTATTGTACTTTTGAAGCAAACTGGAGATTGTATTCGGGTCATGTTTACTTCCGCATTGCAGCAAAAGTCGGTTTGGGATATTGGGCAGGAATTGGGTTTTCTGACGATAGATTAATGGTAAATGTATAAACATAAATAACGGAATATCATTATTTCCTTTAATATATAAACATATGTTATATAAATATTTTATTTGCAAAGATTGTGTCATGTTATTCAATTTGACCAATGGTACAAAATTATTACAGTTATCTCGTCCACGCAAAAGTTAAATTTTTTCAAAAGTTTTCATTTATTATACGCGGGCATTTTAGCTCGTAATCAGTCCTTGTTCTTACCGTCTTGTAGATTCAGAGAATCGAATGTGAGTTCTAATTTGTACGCAAAAAGTCACCTACTGTCGAAGAGAATTATCTGCTGATAGTATTTACATAGAACCGCTTTCTATGTTATTATTTTTTCAAATTAAACAATTTATTTACACGAACTATTTCTGCTGATGTCTCCAGAGCAACACAGCAGTCATTGGGAATTTGTTTTCGGCTCTGGAACCTCAGGGCTTTTGCGGATCCTCCATGTATTTGGGAATCCTTTTTTCCAGCAAACATTCAGTAAAAACGATATTATTTTAGCCTGATTCTGATTGCATCACGGGTTGGATGACGCCCGGTTATTCGTTCAAATTAAAAGATCGATATCTGTTTGCCAGAAGACCAAACGCAGTGCCAATAGATGTACAACAAGATGCGGTTGTTCAGTCGTATCATCATCAGAATGGAATGCTCAAATTTAGCTTCAAAAGGAAAGTGAACACATGGGTATGTGACTACGTTTTCAATACAAAATTATGCTAGAATAATTTACCTACCTTATATTATTTTATTGCCATTACTCGTATTAACTTTAATTTCAGGACAAACATGACAAGTCTCTTGATAGATGTCGCTACTTCTTGTTTTCCTGGGGCGGGAGGGGTTTTGATGATGGAAGGATCACCGCTCACACCGCACAGTTTGCAACAAGAAGACTAATCTGCTTAGGTAAGATATATTGCGACGCTGACAAATTTAGTACCGTGGCATACTATGCTTAGTTGAGGCCTTTGTGGCTGTTACTTCCGACTTATGCCATATATAAATGCGAGACGTCCACATTGAAATCCAATATAACAACTATTGTTATGCTCTATCGTCGTCAACGTGTTATGTGTTTGATTTTAGAATACAATTCTTGCCAGCATAAAAGATGTGGGGCAAATCAACATTGTGTTCATCGCAACGGTCAAGGACATTGCCAATGTGGGATGGGTTATTACAAATCATATGGCGGATATTGTCAGAGTAAGTTTCATAACCTGATATATATACCTACGTATTTTTTCTGGTATAGTTTTCTCTTTTGTAGTTTCGAGACCTAGATCAGGTAGAATGTCTAGTTCAGGGGTGCACAACCTTTTTGCTATTGGCGGCCACATTGCATTTATTCGTATTCAATAGGCCATAAGGCATCCATGGGGTTGCTGAGCGCGCCCAAAGCGCGATTCTTTTGCTTTTATGACGTCATAACCGCGTATTTGACACATGCGAGGTGCAGTCTGCCCAATGAAATATGTAGGACTACTTGGAAGTATATTATTCACATTTTGAACGGATTGTTCTTTTTGGTGGACCGAGTCCTGAGCAGATATATTGCAGCAAGTTGCATAATGATTGCCCAATTTTGAAAAAATTCGAAAGTCGGGGAAGGGGGAGGTTGCCCCCATTTTCTTGTCCCCAAAAGTATAATAAAATGTTAAATATTTTATTGAATTTATTTATAAAAGTTTGCAAAGCTTTGTAGCAATTTAAGGACTCCCTTGGTCTTGCATGTGGGCTGCCGAAACGCGTGATCAATCTTAACCGTGAAGGGAAATCCCCAACAGCAAATACACCATCCAGATTGTGACGCATCGTGTCGTCTGACTTTTTTGCAGTGCTTCTGTTTTGCTTCAATATACGCCAGCATAGCCGCCAAATCCTATATTTTTAATTTTTTTTTTCTGTTTATAGGATTTTGTATGTGGACGGCCGCAATATTTTTTCACATCGGCCGCAGGTTGTGCACTGTTGGTCTAGCTAGTTTATGATCAGCCGGTTTACATCTTATCGTTTCACTATTGTGTGTTACATAGAATGCAATACACCTCAGTTGGTCTATTTGTAATTTCATTTTGGTTTTACTTAGTTGTGCCAGAAGTCAAATATCATTTTACTTATCAATTCACGTTTTAACTGAGCATTTGTTTCTGTAGAAAAAAAACTTTAGGTAACGTCTCAATTACTGTACTGTATTAGGAACCCAAACATCGCCTCACTTTAGCACTCTGGGCAACGTACTAACCGTAAAAAATATCCTCTGCATTTCATCGCTGATTATACATTGCGGGTTCCCAGGTTATAATATCGAGAGATGAGAACATTTTTTTAAACAACTTTGCCCAAAGCATGGCCGCATGGCTCAATTAACGGTGAAAGGTGATCAATTTTACAATGAGGGTTTCTCGGTACGATAGCCAACGCTCGCTATTCTTGAGGGGCGACTAAAGATAGTTTTGGGGAGAACAAAGGAAGGAAATCCCAATGAACACAAAGCGTTATAACATCTGCAAAATAAGTTTAATCGAGTTACATTTCGACGATTGACTGTTTCAGGTTGGTTTATTGGACCGATGACTATCTATATAGTATATAGGCAATCTGGATTGGTCTTATAGAGGTTCTCTCTCTCTCTCTTGTAAGAAATGAGAAAGTTCAAATGTATCCTATTTTTGATTTCGAATTGTAAAACCTCAAAAATTAATCATAGTAAAACCCATTTGTTACCCTTTATATTAAAATGCATAATATCTGTTTTTCAGGGTATAACTACAACCAACATCATTATCCAAAGTATGGCCGGTACTCGAAGAAATAATTCACGATTCGGAGATTGCAGAACGGCAATATTGGACTGCAAAAATCCGCACAAATCTCAGTTACTCTAGTGTCGTGTAATTTTCTTTTTGGTGCCCTTTTTTCGGACCTCCAGAAGTATGTGCACCGGGATGGCGCACAACCTGAACATAGTATATATATGTACCAGGTTCATGTTGTGCGCCATCTTGGTGCACATACTTCGGGTAGCACTCTTTTTTCTTACTACGTTGTCGCCGCCTTCCCAATATTTTGCATGTTTATTCTGTGATACTAATCTGATGAATATTCTAACATAAATGTGAATTGGGATACCTTCTGTGATGTTCACTGATGGATAGAAAAGATATAATCCTGTATTGAATATACCAAGACAGCAATATTTCTTCCCGTACCGCCACAAATAAGTAGAACATATTCAGTGCGTATTTAAGCCTGCTTGCTTGTCGAATAAGGTACCTATGTGCTGATTAAAATTTACTGCTAATCAGTAGCTCAAAAGAGTCGCCTACCTTTTTTTTGGCGCAATGAGAGTGAGACTAGATACTAGAGCAAGAAATTGGGAAGCATGTATTTGAAAATGCATATATTTCAGTCAGAGACTCTTGTCATTCGAATTTTTTTCATAAATACTGTAACCAATGTTCCCTCTAATTTTTTGTAGTATGTGTGCGCAGAAATTTTGGTGTGTGCGCACTTTTTTGGAAATGACTAATATTTGTGCAAAAACCGGGTAATAAGTGGGCCAACAACAAACCTTCTCAACCTGCCAATCGAGCACATTGTTACATTACATCGAAATACGTCTGTGCGCAGTAAATCTATGCGTGTGCGCAGTCTCTGGAAGCTATGTGCGCGCGCACACGCGCACACCTTAGAGGGAACACTGACTGTAACTATCAAAAATTATAATGACATATCTTCAAACTCTATACTCAACTACGCCACTACGGCACGGCCGTAGTATGTGTACCAGGTTATGGTAAGGGCATAGTTTTATTCCGATTTTCCTCATTTTAGTTCTATAACTGCATGTGTTAGCCAAGTTAATATACCCCCCACCCATAGGTTTCAGTCCCTTCACACAACTTGATGTAAAGTAGGCAAACAAAATTAGTTACCACCATATTGGTAAACATCTTTTTGGAGGGCCTCAACTACACCATTCAAATAAAACTCAATGACAATTGATTATATTGGCAAATATATACTGTAAGTAATGGTTGTTGTTGTAGTGTGATTCTTCATACTTTTGTTGTCCATTGTACCATTACGTAATTGTGACGTAATATTTGAAAAAGTTATGTGCGTTGCGAGCTCTTGTCTTGTCAGGTTAGCTTTGTATTTATTTCGTTCTTCCAGATTGGAAGAAATTTTACATCATCTCCAAACTCCGGGAAAACCAGATTTTAGCCACAAAAACTTTGATGTATATCATTAATTGCGACTGTCGCGAATGACTGGTCAGATTCTTTCTTGGTGTCTATCAAAAATCTTAATTGATTACCACCATTGGATGTCCAAAATTTCGACTCCTGACTCCGCGGAGCTTGGAGATACTACGTGTACAGCTTCGGTAAAAACATGTCATTTGCGACTATACAACTTTGGCTCTCACGTTCAAGTAGGTAACTGGAATACTTACATATCAAATTGAGTAATAAATGCAGTATCCGACAATCGTTTTATAAAAGTTAATTCTTTTGCTTCTTCGTGAGTGTTTTCCATTCCACTGATATTTTTAATTTTTGCGAATCTTGATCTGACAACACTTCTTACTCGCATGCCTGTAAATCATGATGTTGCTGATCGACCATGTCTTTTCTTCAAACAAATAGAGTTTATAATTTTTTCATACTGGCGTATTCTTATAGATACAAAATCGATTTGCTACCTGTACATATTGTACTATATTGACTATTTTATAAGTCAATAGGTATTGACATATAGTGCAATATTATTCTAAGTCAAATACAAACAAGGGTCCAACCTACCATAAGATTTTTCGACTTCGGAGATCCCATGATCATAAGAGCATGATCTTGTAGTTCAGGCGTTGGATTGGAGTAGAAACCCTGCTAACATTTCCCGCAGTTCGACCACCCGAAGAGCGGTTTGTAGTATGTACCAAAACAAGCATTCATATAGGAGATTCAGAAAATATAAGCGAGTAAACAAACTAATATTAATAAAAGAACAACTCCGTTAGAATGTATTTGTTTTGAAGTATCTGGAGGTTGTTTTGTATTACTTGTTGTGTTGCAATGTTTACAATGTTTATTTTAACAGAGTTCAAGAGTGGAGCCATTAGCAGAGTAATCAAAATGAAGTATGTGAGAGTATTGTTTAACATAGTCAACAAGGACTACCGCTTCCTTGCTCCTCCATAAAACCATTAAAAAAATAACTTCACTTTATTGTTGGCATGCAACATAATAGACTAAATTAGGGCATATCTCACAGGAGGTTCTCCAACCCTGATTTTGACCACAGAACTCTTGTTCTTGCCAGCAAATATAGTTAATTTTTTTTAACATAAATTTCTATTCTTACTTCATTTTTGCCCTATTTTCACTACAACTCACTTTTCAATCTTAATCATGAATAAATCGTGAATCAAATTCAGTTTTATTGGAAATTGGGAAATATAAATCTAGGAAAATTATAAACAGAATATTTGATCAATTAACACCATATTTTCAGCATATATATGTATGTTTTGCTTCTCGAAAGTACATTGTTACATTTCAAAAAATAGAACGTCGAGTATGGTCTAAATTAAAATGCGCCAAAATATCGAAATAATAACAAAACTCAAGTCAAAGGTTAATAAAGGTATTTTCACTAGAAGCACTGAGTGAAATACTCTGACACAAAACAATAGATTCACAACTGAAATCATGATTTTTGAGAAGAAAAATATCTCAGATGAATTTTTTGAATCAGTGACCCCCGTGAACAAATTCATAGTACGCCTTAAATCCACTTGTTTCTAAATTTTCATCGCTGAAAAATTTAACATAAACAACTTCTTCGATGCTTGAGAAAATATGGGCCGGTTGAGCGCCGCAGTATTCTGAAACTCCATGGATTGTTGCTGCTATAAGTACTCTGTCATGCGTGCATTGTCCGTCTCCGTTTGTTTCTATGTCCATATCAACAAATGTTATTTGTAATTCTTTGTTGAGTCAAAATTTTCGAATCGCCAGGAGCAGTGTGAATTACTGGGATAGGCTGAAGGATAATTTGGTGACATGAAGAATCCAGATTCTCCGTCCAACGGGGTTATTGTGTGGCCGCAGTTAGCGCGCTCATTTGTATTCGAAGGTGGAACGATTCCCGGTGATTGAGGCAGTGAATCATTAGGTGAGACTGAAATAAAGAGTATATTAACATAAGTTTAACGTGATTTTTATTCAAAATAATATATATTCTTTATTGTAATATTTCGGTTAACTTATTTTTTATAACTATCAGTAGAGGTGCGCGAGACTAATTCCCAATCCTTTCTCAATGCCTTTGCACTAGTGGATCCGTATGCGTGTGGAAATGAAATATATTTGTGTTATTGTGCAGCAGAACTCTTGAATTGCAACTTATTTTTTGTTGTAGTTTGAATTTTGAATTTTGCAAGATCCGCATTCAGAAAATTTCTTACATTTTTTAAAAGGCTATATTATGTAGTTAGTTGCCTTCGGTTAAAATTTATTATGTTAAATACCCATAAATTAAGACTCATGGGAATCGTTTTCAAGTACAGTTTTACAATTATGCTTGCTTTAAGTTTCGGAAAAACTTGGTCAAGATCTCTAACATTCCAGGTTAATAATTGTGATGTCACAGTTACTGTTCCAACTCCCTGTCGAATTTAATGGAAGCTGACATTGTTAAACCGGAGATATAAATAGAATTAGTCATAGTTTGGATATTTTACATAACGTTCAATAATAAATCTAAATTTTGTATGTAGTTGCGTGATATTTTCGCTCTTTTCTCCAAGAGCAAGGTCCCCACAGAATGCTTTGCCGTGCCGCATGCGGCAACGAGACGCGTAGTTTGCTCAAACCTATCCTAACCTCCCCAACAATGAATTGTAAGTTAAAGCCCTCATGTCGTGTTTAGTAAAAGCAAATCAAAATCTAAACTCACATATTTGGTAACTCAGTACAATTCCTTGTTGTTTGGTTTCCTCGGGATACACGGTCATTACAACGCTGATTTCGTTATGAGAAATGTAAAAATATTTTGCGGTATTAACACCATGCTGGTAGTTCACAAGTTCTTGTTGATTGCTCTTGATGACAACCTACATTTACAGAATGAATTAAATATTAGAAGGGAAGTATCAAAATAGATGGAAAAATCAGGCCTGTTTTCAGAAGTTTCTGAGGTTTCAAGTACACGATTTTAGAGTTATTCATGACGTTTGAATTTATGATACATGACCGTACAGGACAATGCGTTTTCATGTGTATAAAAAGCATCTTACATCATTTGACGACATGTCCAATTTCTCCACCTTTAAATCGATCCATGATCCTTCAGGCAACTGGATATCCCATTCACAGTACACTGTGCTCAATGAGTGATTCAGTCCAGGCATGGAGACTATTCCACTGTTGCTATTAAGGGTGCCACTGCAGTTGCTAGCTCTTTCTATTAATTTAAAAAATAGAGATTTTCATTGTTGCCGACCGCGCAAGATTGTAAGATGAGTTTAATTTATGTTTTTGTTGACACTACTATTTGGTTAATATGTAAAACGGCATTTTATGAATTATATGTATAGCTTAGTTTATTCTGTGTTGATAATAATATACTATGAATATAGAATAACCCAATAATACCTGCACTGTTAATTAAGTGCAATGTTTCTGTAACAATTGTTTTTACTAATACACTTACCGATAGTTGGAGCAGAATAGTAATCGTTATAGCCGTACATACTGTCATATTCCATAATGCCTGAAATGTAGAGAAGTATTCATTGATATAATATTAATAATAATAAATGACAAACTGCCACAACAGAAACTCTTTGATAGATTGAATTTGTTACATATGTTCTACAATATAATATGATGTACATATGTACACGAATCGGTATGTGCATTAAAATAAAAGAGATGGTTATAGATTGTTAGATACCCTTTCATTTAAACTTATAAAAAAAATCATAAACTGTGTGGTGAATGTATTGTTAAAATGAATTGTACGCATTTAAGACAAATTAATTCATAAAAATTTCAGCAAAATGCTGGTTTAGTATGGATAGTTTCAAAGTATTCTCCATTTTGCTAGTTAATTATTTAGTCCTAATGACCAAGGATTTGTACGTGGTTGAAAGATCTATACACGATGCCAACGGTATATAAATTATATTTGACCATACCTGCTTGTTGCGGGCTGTAGTGCATCATCTGAGCACTGGCATGAAAAATTCTACCAAGCGATGCTGGCATTGGCTGAATACCAGCAGGACCTGGTGCAGCCATATATCGACCGCTGCGTAGTGAAGGTGAGATGCCTGGACTTGGCTGATGAGACGGAATGCTTGCCTCTGCTTCTTCATCAATAACATAGGGACACAAAATAGGTGGTTCAATAATATAATCCGGTATTGGCTGGCCCCTGTCCCAACATGGTGGTAAAGGAGGAAATTCCGTTGCTGTAATTTATACGAAAAAATATTTTGTGTTAATTAGAGACTATTAATTATCTAATTATTTAATACTTTCAGGTAGTAACAGTACGGGGACATGGTGTTTTGCAGTTGTATTATTTTGCAACTGATAAACCTGAATCATGAATTTAGCACGTTTTCAAATGGAAGTTATCAGAGCTTTCAAAAGAAATTTTCTGATATATTTTAATACCGATGTTGGAACTATTAAAAGTCAAAACTTGAATGGTGTAAACCTGGTCTGAATGAAACTAGAATATAAGTCCTGGGTTAAACAGCAACCTTGCCAAATAAAATTGTTGCCTCTTGAAAAGTAAGCTTCAAGGAGCTCAACATTGCACTTACAGGTTGACGGAGTAGTCGTTATTTCATCCTCTGGTAATACAACAACCAATGATGTCAATGGAGTCACAAAGTGATATTTTAGTGCTAGTGTCATAGCTTCATCAACGAGTTTCTTTACCTCCGCCTAAAATAAAAACATTAGATTATGACATTAGGGGTACGCTGCATGTATATACGTTCTGCTAGGGTTAGACCTGGCTTGGGTTCGCATTTTAAAAAACCATGAATTAGAAAAAATTGTCGTTTGAATCATGAAGCCCAGTAGAAGTGATTTTGCAGAAAAGATCGGAGAGAAGTTGAACGTAGGGGGTCTTTGTCTGTGTACTATTCTAGATTACTACATTTTACTTTTCATGAAATGCACAAACCTCCATTGTCATAAACTTACTTAATTAATGTATTGTGATTTTTAAGCCACGCATTCTCATACTTACATCACTCTTTACAAAAAGTTTTTGTTTGAGTTTCTCCTTAATCGTATAATAGGCCCAAATTCGTTCGATGAAATCGTCGAAATCACCGGTATCTTCATACCAATGTTGATAATCTTCATCGAATTCATTACTGACTACACTGTATTCAACGTCACCATCGACCGACGTCCCAACGATTGTTGATTTAAGTGGTTTGTCTGAAACAATATTTTGAAATATTGATTTGTTTATTTGAAATTCGAACTTCAAAAAATTCCAAAGGCGTCAAAACAAATCAATTAACGTACCATGATCCAACTTTGCACCAACTACCATGACTTCCGATCCTCGGAAGTATTTCTCGTAATTCGTTTTGCTGACGTCAGAGACCGCTGATCCAGAGTAATTCATTTGGACACGGAGTAACAGAGGAGCGGCAACTTCTTTGAAAAATCCTTCCAGTTGTAAAGAAGCGTCTGATTCTTCATAAATTTGTCTAAACATTAGAATCCGTTTTGTGAAGAACCTTATCAATAAACATCTTGAAAAAGTTTTTATGGCCGCCAACTTGAAATTTACATCGTATGTACATTATACACTAAAATATATATATGTCGAAATAATGTTACGTATTTGAAGAAGTTGTTCAATAAATGTACAAATTTAAATTGTTTGCTCTTGATAAAAAGAAAACAAAGTATCGTAGTCGAAATGAAACGTTATATAGTTGATTAATTTGATGGAAAGATTGCATGTTTGCATATTTCAAGAAAATTAAAATTTTGAAATGCTGGAAATCAAGACTTTGACAGAAAACCGTGGAATGACAAGTATGACTCTTTTCTCAATTATCAGTGTCATATATGAATTCCAATAACAAATACTATGCTTTCTATAAAATTAATTAGTTGTATATTTTTTTATTTTTTGCCAAAAATGTTTTTCCAATATTACTGGTTGTGTGGTATTTCATTTAACTTCAAATATCTGTTTTCTAATTAAATTGACCTGAACTTATCCAAGTTCCGCACAAATAGGTCGTCAGTGGTTTCGTCCAGAAACACATCCTAATTTCTTAGGCGTGAGAGCTTGTGATCTTGCTTTGAACAATTATTTCCTATGAAAGTTAGCTTTTCTACCTTGAGATACCGTCGTTTTCATTTGCCATACGTTTCAGGAAATCGTGATTCAAATATTTTCCAAATCCAAGGCAAAAAACGGAGAATTTTCCTTTCACAGCTTTTTTGACGTTCAATCGTATCTTAGTTTCATCCGTTACACCAGAGGTGGGATCACCATCTGATAGTGTGATGATTGCAGAAGACACCCTGTCGCCAGGTTTTACATGTTTCAATTGTTTGGCGCCTCGTAACAATCCATCATTTAAATTGGTTCCTGTACGAAAGATTATTAAACTAAATACTTCTATCAACAACTATTTGTTGACCAAGAAAATATCAATTCAATTTATATTAAATTAAAATTTTAATTCACCTCCTCTAGCTCTAATGTTTCTGACGTAAATAATTGCGTCATTTACATTTTGTTCCGTTACGCTGACTAGCTTTTTTCGCCACAATGTGACATCATTTGCAAACGTCACGATGTTGAATCTACAAAATAATACATTTTATATAGTATTATATAAGATAGCTTACGATATATTTTCAAGCAATCTAATGGCTTAATTTTGCATAAATATTTCATTTTTCGAAATATTGGAATTTGGCTTCGTATTGTCTAAAATTAGACTTCCAATCCGTGGTGTTAGGTATAATTTTACCCAAATCCAGAAATTTAAACAAATCTCATCAAACTTGCTAGATTAGCATTGTAGAATCTCTGATTAATTTCACAATCCCTTTTTATATATACATAATATACTAATCACTCCCATAGTGTATTGTATTAAATTACAATTTCTAGATCGAACTGTATACATTGTTTCGCAAATTGAAATAATGCGCTTGACGGTCTTCCATTAAAAAATTTTGTTGTCGCGTAAACTAGACAAATGGAAGCATTACGTATAGCACATGAATTTTTTCACCGTTATTTTTTTTTTGAAAATCCGCATTTGTAGCATAAAAATGCATTAAAAAGTCACAACTTACTCATCAAGTTCAGACATTTCTTTCAAAACAGTTTCAAAAGCTGTTTTTGTTTGTGTCATTTTAGTGCCAGACATTGATCCACTGCGGTCAATCACAAATACAATTTTCTTCGGAAGAACTGGTAAATTTTCTGGCGCAAAATAGTGAACAAAATATCCATTTCTTATTTGAATATCTCCTCCGAGCTCTTCCCTCGTAACATCATAGATCACTGTCATTTTGCGATCATTTTCGGGAATCATAAGCAAACGACGTTGCTGAGTTTGTGAGGGTTTGAATCTGTGTGACAAAAAATATAACTTCATTGATAAAGGGCTAAAAATATTCCAATTCAGCCGTTTTCACATCAACAAACAATTATTATATCATGCAATATTCATCCAAATGTGTACGTTTAGTATTTCTATTGGCCCAACACTATAGGATCAGTTATTTTCCTAACTTTTCTTTAAGTTAGGTTTTATGACCTTCAGACCTTCTTCATGTACTTTTTCAAAAATTATGGTGCCACATGCATCGATTATCGACCGTGTTGTAGCGACCAAGCGACCGAAATGTTTCTAACTGATTTTTTTTCTGTTTGTCGAACAATGTTGTTTTTGGTTGAAAAGTCTTGGACTGAAATTTATAGCATAACCATCGATATAGCCAAACTATTCTTCCTCCTTAAACTACACAGTTAACAATATATGAAAAAATGATGTAGGACGATTATAGTATCATTTTAATTCTTCCAATTTGAGAAAATTGGGATTGTATCATCAGAACAGTACACTGGCAGACTTCCCAACCAAATCACTTATATGTAGATAATATATTATGGTCTATTTAAATGAGAGTAAAATCTACAATATTTCTATGTTTTGTATAAGACTGGGGATGGTTTATTATTAAAACTTACGTCAATTTAGCTTGATATTTGCTTCGCCTGACATCAATGTCAATCGGAACATTTCCTTCCTCGTCATATCCACTCAAAGGATCGACATCGCCTATCTCGCCTACCTTATGTGGTGACTTAGAGTCCAGAAGAGTGAATCCACTTCGTTCCGTAATGTAAACATCAATTACAAAGTCATCCACAATCTAAAATATTTCAAATGAATTTAGTAATTACGAAATAATATAAAACGATAACGTTCTGCACTAAGGACAAGGCACAAGGACGATATTACACTAAAAAAACATTCAGCGACATGTTACAACGCCGATTTTTATGAAAACAAATAAAGTTAGAAAAATAAAACAAATATTACCTGCCCCGGATGAACAAAATTTCATGATTGTATTTGAGAATTTCCTTTTCAAAAGTTCTTCGATAAACTAATGTGAATGTTACACTGGAACGTGCTGGTACGTTGGCAGCAACGCTGAAACGTATGTGTTTCTTCTGACTTTGGCTGTGATCAGACGCTGAATGTCCCTGTTTCAAAACAACATGTTAGTAATTAAGTTTATGACATTTTCAATGTTGGCCAGTCAATAACCGAAAAAATCGGAATTTTTAAAGTTTCAATTTAAAATTGAAATATTTTAACGGGATATTTTGCGATGATATACAACTATTTTCTAATAGTCTATCGGGCTTTCGTGATTATAAGGTTTCACAAAGATAAACGCTATTCACTCCGTATCAAATTTGAGGATGTCAGTAAATATGCATTGCGCAAACACAATCATCGTTTTTACTTACACTTTCTGCTGCTTTTTTATATTCTTTTCTGCAAGAGCCTTTTCTTTAACTTTCCCAACAAAAGTTACTCCGTCCATAACCTGAATAAAAAGTAGCGTAATTAATCCCATGTATAAAAGCACATGGTGATCAACAACATTTTAACAAAGTGTTTGAAAACAGTCAAGCATGCTATTCAAAAATGTACAATAATTTCTGTAAGGTAATTTTTCACTTACATATCAATCCAGTAATAAATGCAGCATCTGGTAATCTTATTGTAAAAGTTAATTCTTTGCTTCATCGTGAGTGTTTTCCATTTCACTGACAGTTGTCACTTTTGCGAATCTTGACCTAACCACACTTGTTACTCGCATGCTTGTAATTGAGGATGCTGCTGACCGAGCATGTCTCCTCTGAAAATTGATATAATGATATTATATCCAAAGGCAAATTTATTTTTAAAGTATTAAATCTTGGTATAAATTATTGTTCCAATTAGCATTGTTGTTGCATAGCAGCTTTCTATTGTTTTCCACGTTTAAGAGGGAACTTGGTAGATTAGAAATGTAAGGTTGCTTACTTTATGTAGGCTGAAACAGTTCCGAAACAGAAAATAATAAATCCGAACAAAATAGTGGACTTTTATCATCAAGTTCGAGCTCGCCCCAAGCTCGGCTCCAACCGTTCAGCGACACATACTACTGTTACTACAATACTGTTCCAGGTAGCCCTATTTATATATATATATTTCGAACGTTCTTCCATGCATTTTAAACAAAGCACCTTATTTTGCACCTTAAAGCACAGTAAAATATATATAGCACAACTCACCAAATTATTCGACGTCTTTTGAGACCCAAAAATCATAAATGCTTGGTCTTTCAATCCAGACAACGATTTTGCAGAAATACATTGTAAGCACAAGCAAAGTGCGAGACCTGCTAACATTTTCGCGCTGTTCGACTTCATCTTCTTGTCTAAAGGTGAATGACGGTTTGATATTTTACTCAGGAATCGCGAATTTATAGGAAATATTGAGAGAAAAAATTGCAAACTAGTAAACAAAAAATATGCCAAATACGTACAAAGGTTTCAGAAAGCTACTTTCTCTTAAGCGTGGGTTGGTCAGTAATCGTAAATCGTTTAAGTAAATATTGTTTTGATGGAGTTGTTGGCGCTGTTTTCTCACGCACGTTCGTGCAAACGATGCAACCATTTGAGACGTAATCGAAACTCGGTCATCCGTGCTGATTTCAGTTTCGACGACCCATTCTCGGCGCCGCGTAGACGAAAACATTTTAAAAACGGAAATAAAAAAAAATAAAACGCAGTTAGAAATATTCTCTTGTTAGAAACTGAAAATTCACAAGAGATTTGTATTTTTTGATAGATTAACTTTCACGGGAACATAAATATCACGAAATAATAGTTACCTCGACGGATATCTTCAGTAGTGTCAATTGGGATTGTACTGTCTCCATTTTGATAAGGTTGCACAGGAAATCAACGAACGATCAAAATATTTTTGTTCGGTACCTGTTAAATAACAACTGTCTGACTGATCGAAACTACAAATCGAAAGTATCAACACCGTGCACAAATCCTCAAACAAAGACCATTTTACCGACAGAATTTTCGATTCCTATTTAATGGCAGCGTTCCAGATATATTTTAAAGATACAAAAAGCAATAAATAAACGACTATCTATAGTTCATGTTGTTATGAGGTGGACATTTCCCAATAAAACAGATTTAATGACAACAGAGTATTTTGTTGATATTTTCTACTTTTTTTGTACTAAAAGTCGTGTTCGTCCTTTGCGTTCGTTTCTAAATAAAATTAAATTTTAGTATTTATGATATTCCGATTGATAATGTACGAAATATGATTATTTGAGGGTTAGTTTATAGTTAGTCACGGTTAGTTTATAGTCCGTAGTTTGAAAATATTCGAACGCCTGCTGAGTAGCACCGATAAATGAAAAAAAAAAAGTTAAATTATACCAATACCTGAGTTACACCACCAGTTTGGTGTTTCCTCTTTTGGGTCTGGCGTTCTACTGACTGATTTGACTGAATGCTATTAAACAGAAGCCAGAGCCCGGCCTTTCTTCGGCAATAAATTCTGGTTTCAGTGCAGTAGAACAAAGTCATAGCGCCTATTTAATCCGGCAGATTGAGCATTTCCGTCGCTAAAAAATTTAACAAAAGCGGCATCGATGGCACTGGTACCGGATTGACTGAGAACCTTGGTATGAATATCATCTCTCGTAAAGATCAGCGCTTTATTCTGCGACATTGTTTGTCTTCATTGATTTCAAGGTCCATGTCGACAGATGTTATCCTATGTGGTTTGGCGACAAACCAGCCAGGTAAAATTGACAAATTCCCAGGTTAAAAAATAAAGGAAAGTTTGTAGATGATACATATTCAGATTTCGCATCTCGAAATGAAATTATGTGTCCTCACTTTGCTCAAAGGCTGAAATAAAAATCCAATATTTTGCATCAAAAATTGCGATTACGTATACAGGATAAAATACCTAGTGAAATCGATGCGCTTTCTGAAAAGTTCGCATTAGTCAGTAAATGCTGTTATCCGTTGTATTTACTGGTGCATTTCGGAAACCGAATCTGATCCACCGAATTTCAGTTTCGAGAACTCGTTTCGGCGAGGATAGGAAAAAAAATTAGGTACAAAATATAATAAAAAAAAAGTTTTTTTCTTTTAAATTAAATCAATTGTTCCGTAGTGATATTTTAGAAGTATTTCTAGAACGGTGGTTCCAAGTGGTCTTTACTAATTAAATGCATATTTCAGGTGGCAGCGTTTAGTTGAGTCAGTAGGAACTTATCCAATGTACATCAATTTCAATTTCAAGCAAATCACGACAATGTCGGTAAGAACTTAATTGGGCATTGGGTTGGTCCAATAGATGGCAAACCAGCCTGATCTAAAGCCACGCGTTGGCGCAATATGCACAAAAATAGCGTTGAATATCATGTCCCGTGAGATATGGGGGACTGAATAAATAAAAATACAAATAATAGCCATATAGCAACTTTTTCTATCTTAAGCACTAATATTTGTAAATCGATTAGTTTATTAGTTTAGAATAAAGTGATTTTTCAGAATAACAGCACCAATTTCACAAAACAATGCATTCATATGAAATTCTTCATGTTCAATAAGTCTTTTTCGCAACGCTAATAAGTAATGCTGTCGAAACTTCAAAGCACGAGATACGGTCAAAATTCAGTCATTCATGTACAAATTATCTCCGAGTTTCGGTTATAATACCAACGCTGAAAATTTTTTTTCATCTTATTCGAGGGTTTGATTTCGATTTATTGTTTAATTATTAAGCAGATATATTAATAGTATTTCATCGCGATGAAATATAATTTTGTTTTGTGCCATCTAGGTGTTGTTAGGTATCATCTTTTCCCTTTTGTTTAGAGTTGTAGAACGTTGGAATTGGTTTAGTTTATGAAATTGTCTCTCATCATAATTGAATTTTAAAATTATCTGAATGGGTGCGACTTGTTGTGACGACAAGGTTCGGGAAAAAGCTTTGGGCAAAACTAGAAACCAGGGGCCCCATTCGCGAAACTTCCTCATCAATTAACGTGTTTGTAAAGCATCCACTTTCTCGTAAAACGAAAAAATGGTCTTCACGACGGATAGTTAATATTCGAGAGAATTTTTTGAGCGTAAAGTGCCGTATTCTCTCATTTTACCGAGAATGGGTATTCACCAAAGTTCTTTGACATGCTGGAGTGCTCGCAAACTAACGAGGGGAAAATTTTCTTCGTTAATAGTAGTTCGGCTTGCTCTTAGCAAGTTGCAAGTTGAAATGTATGTTGTTTATTTGCCTCAAAAATGTAACAGTATCCGCATAATATTTAAACGGTATAACAGAGACATACATGTTCAAGACCTTACTGGCCCAAGACACGGATGTGCGATATGCACCCCGACAAATGCTGTGGCGTTTGCATACCTCATGAAAAATTGGTATCAAAAATCCCTAACTTGTATAAGAGTGACAGTAGTCTAGTAGCTGTGGTCCCACCTATGTATGCCAACTCTATTCACCGGAATACAGGTATCTAAGACTAACTCAATTCAGCAATTGGTACCTATTTTATTGTCTGGTACAGAAGTAGTTTAACAATATGTACGCCAGAACTTTATCCATAGATCACTGCTATATGCCCCAAACTTTAAAACACAGGCTGCAAAAAGTAAAACAGAGACAAAATTGATTGAGAAGTCGTTGCAAAATAGGCTTGTCCGCTTCGGGTAACTGGCGAGCGGCGGTGAGTGATACGGTTGAGTGATCTTACAGTGGTTTTGTTTAACGATGACCGTGCGTGAGATTTCGAGAGAACTTGCGTGGCCGTGCGTAAAGTGTTTACGAGATCTTTCGTGAATCGCACTTAACGAGATTTCGCAACTGGATTTTTGAAAGACAAAATTACGTGCTCGTAAACGCGGATTTTTACGAAGTTTAGCGAATTTGTTTTATTTGTGCACGTTTAACGAAACATTTTACTCATATTGCATGAGAGGTCAGTAATCATTGCGCTACTATCACGCATAATAAACTTCCCGATTGTTGTTTATACGCACGTTATGGGTCATCAGGCTCACGTTATCGAATTACGTCCATCTCTTACTCCCCAATAACAACAAATAAAAATAGGAGATGAACGAAAAATAATCTAGAAATGCTATGTCACAAGATAAATATATATTGTTCCTATGTAGACATATAAACATGAGGTATAAATGAAATCGAACATTCACGATGACAACGATTTCATAACATTTAGAAGCGATGACGTCGCCACTGACCCTATTGCGTGACAAAGAAAGAGGAACGAGGAAAATATATTGCTCTAATAGAAACTGCTGAATCGAAAGGAAATAATTACAAAAGAAGACAATAGGTATATAACCGCGAAGGTCAAATGTTAAAATCGTGTTTTTATGAATTAAAATGAAACAAAGGCAATATTTGGGGAAATTATTCCGTGAATAAATTCAAAAAATGATAGCAATCTAGCGACAAATTGCTTCAAAATTGCTAATTTTCCAAAATATTCTTGAATAATTTCAAACTCGCTTTGTATCCTAGATGTACAAAGACAACTTTGTCTTGAGCAGAATTTGTGACACTCCCGTAGTATGTGTACCAGGTTCGGGTAAGGCCATAATTTTATTCTGATTTTCTTATTTTATTTCCATTACGAGTTCGGGGACCGTCTGTGTTAGCCAAGTGAATACTCCCTGCCCATAGGTTTCAGTCTCTTTACACAACTTGATGACAACAGGCGAACAAAATTAGTTACCTCCATATTGTTACACATACTTCTGGAGTGCCGAATTTGTTTTATGAAGTAACCACAATGACTTGAGTGTTATCTGTGATTAACTAAAACGTTCTGTGATGTTTTTTACTACACTGGTTACTACAATATGGCTGGGAGGAGAACCCTCAGCAAAACTCGAACTCCGATCTAACCCAAAATTTCTAATACAAAAACTTAAATTTTCAAATAGATTTTAAAATATAAATAGCCTCAGATCAATAATACAAACAAGGCGGGTCAATTGGAGTCATTTATACAATCTTTTTGTTGTTTGAATCTCAATTCGATTCACCCGACCCGCTATACAATTGCAACTTCATACATGAGAGAAACCTGAAACCTGATATTAGTTTCTATGTCGTCAGCATAAGATTTCCAATTCTTTTGGGGTTTTAAAACTCGTAACCTAAAACGAAACCCAATACATTGGGACACTCGTAGTAAGGTAATTTAGGTTTTGAATTGTCATGAATGACTTGGAGAACCTGTCTTGTGAATTAATCGGTTCCATAAACAAAATGGCGATGGTGAATAATAAATGGCAATAAAGTGACTAATTCCCTAATTTTATTGAGTCCTAAAGTAATATTTACAATTTCAAAACATGCTTTTAGGCGGTTTCTCACAGTATGAAATGGAAAAATATTATTTTATTTGATATTTTTCTGATTTCCTATTTTTGTTACAATTAAAACAAAAGCTTTATAAATGTAGCCACGTTGTTTTTGGAAGTGTCGGGATTTTTCCGTTTCAGTATATAAAGCCTATACCTATTTTTTTTAACGTGAAACGTGGTGTGGTGCAAGGGTTTCGACCCGAGATTTATCATATATCATAGTAGTAGTATCATATCGATTAGCACTCGAAATGCATATACATGTATTGTTACACAATGACGATGTATTCACGAAACATTCACATCGCCGAAACTTTTAGGTACAATGTGCAGCACTTTATAACTAACTAATGCATATGGGTAAACATGTGTGTAGTACTTGACGAACTCATTGTAGTTTTTGTCGATAAGTAAATATCTACAGTTTTTCGATACGATTTGGTAATGATGAGCAAATTTAGCCTAGGAGTGAGAACTTTACGGCAAGGCATGATGCCAGGTATTCACATTGGCTACAGTCAGTGTTCCCTCTAAGGTGTGCGAGTGTGCGCGCGCACACAGCTTTCAGAGGGTGCGCACACGCATAGATTTACTGCGCACAGACGTATTTCGATGTAATGTAACAATGTGCTCCGTTGGCAGATTGAGAAAGTCTGTTGTTGGCCCACTTATTACCCGGTTAGAACGCCTAAATTTCTTCATTGGTTTTTGCACAAATATTAGTTATTTCCAAAAAAGTGCGCACATACCAAAATTTCTGCGCACACATACTACAAAAAATTAGAGGGAACATTGGCTACAGTAATTGTCATAGTATTAGAATACTTTTTACAGTACTAAGTTGTGAGTATAGCACACAAGCACAGTGGTTTTCAACCATTTTGATGAAGCGAAACTCCAATGAAACATCCCGGAGACATGTACAATAGATTTTTATAAATATATAAAAGCAAACCTAATATCGGCAAAACAAAATGGAAGTGAAGCAAGTTTAATAATAGTGGCAAACCTAATATATATGTATTTGAATATATTTAAACAGTATACATGTTTTAATATAGACACTGGGATTGGAATAGAAACTTGCGGAACCTGGGCTGTGCTGGCTGAACCCCAGAGAGACGCGGAACTCCGTTTGAAAACCTCTGTGCCGTATAAACTTTTCGGATTTTTAGTGGTTCGCGTAATGTTTCTAACTGTTAATCTACAT